TAGCAGGGAAGCAACAAAGCCCATATGGAAGAAGCACATCAGCCTGTGTGATCATGAGGAGTTGATGGGACCAGGTATCAGATCAAAAGCAAACAACCATATCGTTGTGAAGGAGAGGGGTCAGAGTAGAGACCTAAAGCCAATCTACTGATAATTGGACACTCCCTCACAAAAAGGACACAGAATGGATGACTCCTCCAGGGTGCAGTACAACACCAACAAAACACACAACATTCCCTTAGTAATGTGTGCTTCCTCCCCCCACAATCATGGCCCCAGTTTGACCTCACAAATCCTGTTAGACCAGCATATGTACATTGGTACATGTGGAAGTTGCATCATCTGTCGTCAATTTGAGACTGAAGAGTGAAGGGGTGGAGCCTAGCCTGTCAATCAGGTCACAGCTTGATGGCCTCATTGGGAGGTGCTAAGGAGATAAGTAGCTCACTGGAGGTGGGACACAGGCACACTCCCTGTGAGACATTCCTGTTGACAAGCCTGATGGAGCTATACTGATGCAGCCAGAACTCAGAGAGCTAAAGGAGCCAGCACTGGCAGGGGTCTCTGGGTGGCTTCTCCAGTTCCCAGGCCTGCACCAGGGTAGGTCCATGTGGCTTCTCCTCACAGGAAGTGAGCAGAGAGAGTCTTGTCTCCTGCCTCCAAGGAAGAAATACGGAATTTCCCAGAATTCTCAGGAGAAAGCCATGCCCACACAGAGGCCTCATTGACAGGCTGGACTCCACCCTACACTCTTAATCCTCAAACTGACAAACGATTATTTATGTCACCATCAGTCTCAATCCATCGAGGGTGGTGCAGAAAAAGGGGGTGTAATGCTCTCGTGTTCACTGGGTTGCACGAGTCGAACCCGACTGGAGTGTCCCCTACCAAGAGCCACAATGCCTATCGCAGCAACTTCTATACTAACAAAGCGAAGGAAACTAGCAGAAGCTCAGTCGTGGAGGACAGACACACCATGGACTAGCGTGTGTCTCTAAAACACAGCGATGGGCTGTCAAACGCCTCACGGCACGGGCAAGATTGGAAGACATTTTGCTCCCCGGAGTTAGCCCATCTCATAAAGATAAGTATTTCATGACGTCATTCTTCTAAAGGGGGGAAAATGGTTTTTCACACCAAAGGAGAAGACTTTGACGACGAGGATGAGGCAGAGGGTGGGGTGGGGAAAAGGGAGACGGGAGAGTGGGTGGGGTATAAAAAAGGAAGAAAGAAACACACACATGGGGTGGGGACATGGCTGGGGACTGGGGTACTCACTGTTCTGGCACAATGATTGTGCGACTACCTATGGTGTGTTTTTATTTGTAAGTGCTACCGTTCACCCACAAAAGGGAAATAATAATGAATTCATTCGTTTTTAGTTTTTAAAAAAGGAGAGAAAGAAAACCCTCCAGGTCCCTTCCCCATCCGATCTAAGCACTGGTCTGAGTGGTTCTAAAAGGAGTGTGGTCCTTACATCCTCTGGTGCCAACTTGAGACTCTTAAGAGTGAAGGGGTCGAGTTTAGCCTGCCAAACTTGATGACCTCGTTTGGAGGCCCTACAGAGATAAATAGCTCGCTGGAGGCGGGACATACACACTCTCTGCTTCTTATTCCTGACACATGGAGCTAAGCTAGAGCCCTAGAACTGGAGGAGACACGTTCAGACCACGCCAGCACTGATATCCAATGGGTCCACAAGACTTTCCACCCACTGGCCTGTGATCTTCCCTCATGCAGCGTCATTGCATGTGCTGTATGAGTCTGAAGAAGAATTTATAGACTGGTAACGGACAGATGGGCTAATATTGGATCTATGGACTTAATCTGGACTGGGCTGGGATATTAATGTACAATTAATCGCTCTTTGATATAAAGTCCTGTCTTACACACACATCGGTGTCTCTGGATTTGTTTCTCTAGTCCACCCAGGGCTACGCACGGAGGGAGAGTACAAGTGGAAGAAACTAAAAAAATAAAAAAAACGCCTCATCACCTACGAAGGGACGACAGAACGAAAACCACAAACATCTGCCAACTGCGCAGCCCACCCACCTCCTGCTGTGTCGTCACCTAAGAGCCTCCTGGGGGGAGAACGAGAGGTTCTCAGAAAACCCACCTCCTCCACTGCGGTCACCACACTGACGTCAGAACTCTATTCATGTCCTCCAAGTAGTCCCTCACAGCTGGACAGACTCGGGGTGGCAGCGGACTAGAAATCCCGCCCCAAATACAGGAGACGCTTATGGAAAACCCAAGTGTTTGAGAAGCTCGATCCTTCCACCCTTCCCTCTCGCTCCTCCGTCTCCAGTAGAATGCATCACACTTTATCACCCAGGAATGGGGCGCTTCCGACTCCCTTCCCTGCCAGAGGCTCATCCAGTTCAGCTTCCCTCTGCCAGTGTCTAGCCAAGGGCTAAGCTACAATGGGGGCTGGCATTTACTGTCACAGACAGAAGCCTTTGCAAGAATTTCCTCTCATTCTCCAGATGACTCTACGACATAGGTACTATCATTAGTCCCAAGTTAGAGAGGTGAGAAAAGCTAGTTTCACAGAGGTGATGGAACTGGGCCAAGAACATAAGGCTCGCAGTACAGCACTGAAGAAGCTCATTACTATCCTGTTTCTTTAATATTACCTCCCCTGACTATTAAGGCTTATGGTTCGCCTCATTCATACTGTTAGACCTACGTAGGTTCAGGAGTCTAAGTAAGATCATTCAATGCAGGCATGCCAGGAGAGAAGACCCTACAGAAACAGCAACGGGAGTAACGATTTCCTGAGGATACGGGAAGACAGGTGAGGGGTGGGGGTAAGGGGGAACCGAGAGTAATGATGACTGCATCACCCCACGCGAGGGGAGCGGGTCACAGAATTGTAGGTGAACTAGATA